TTAGGTTCAGGTTTGATAGGAAATATTTATACCAATCTCGCGTTAATCTGAACTGTTCATCGCATTAATCTGAACCATTTATTGCGTTTGATCTCGACCGTCCAATCGCGTTTAAAGATAAAATAAATATGAACCGTTCATCGCGATTTGATCTCGACCGTCCGATCGCGTTTAAATAAATAATAAATTTGGGCTGTCCACACGCGCGGGATTAATTATGACCTGTTCAATTGCGGGACACGCGGATTGCCCGCGTGGCATTTCGCGTGACATCGACGTCAGCACGCCTTACCACACGGCGTGCTCCGATTCGTCGAGATTGCTGACTGGGCAGTCCTACGTGGCAAAATTTTTCTTATTTGCACTCTGACCACCAATTTTTATTTTTTCTTTTAAAAATATCATCCGAACCCAAATTTTTACTTTTTTTTTCAAAATTATTTTTAATTTCATGCATAACTTATTTTTTTTCCACAAATTCAATAAAAATTAAAATAAAGTAATTTAAAAATAATTTTTTTATATTTAAAATGTTAAAACTAATTTTGATCCAAATTTTGGCACCGTGTATTACATATATTTAAAAATACTTTTAATTAATTAATTAATTAATTTAATAGTAATAGATATATTTAATTATAATAAATTTAAAATTTCATAAATTATAATTTATTTCCTAACTAACAAACGTGTTGCACGGCAAAACGGTAATAATATAAAGAATTATTTTTTATATAAAAGGTTCCACGCTTATAAAGTGGATTCTTTTTAATTTTTTTAAAATTTGAAGTTCTTAAAAAAAAAAAGATAGAGTAGGATTTTCAATGAAGGAAATTAATTAAATAATAATAATGTTTATAAGATGCTTCGACTTTCATTACCACCCCTCTTTATAGGTGGAAATTTACATACGGTGGACCTATAAGTAGTTGTTGGTATGACGTGACACACAAACACATATGTATATATATATATATATATAATAGCTTTCAATAAATAAAACTTAACAAGTAAAATATATTATAAACCAACACCACAATAATTTAATAACTAAAATTTTTATATTTCACATAAAATTAGTATATTAGTGAATTTAAAATTATAATGATAAGTTGGGTTATGTTATATTTATGAGTAAAAAACATTATATCACATTAATTATTTTAATTAAAATAATTACAATAAAAAAATTAAAGTTTTTATTTTAAAAAAATTAAATTTATAATATTAGAACGAAATATTTTGAAATTGATTAAAATATTAAAAAAAAATTATGAGATTTATTTTTACCTTTAGAAAAAATTGCACACACAATGTTAAAAGTAAATATAACTTTTAGTTTTTTTTTTTTAATAAATAATGATTGCAACTTTTAATTTTTAATAATTA